GGTTTTGAAAAGATATCAATTGATGAAAATTCTTGTATAATTCAAAGAAAAATATACAAAAATTACTAAACATATATTCTAGATGTTTTATTTATCCTAACTTGTTTTCGAAGAAGTGTAAAATAGCATATATAGACATTAAAATGTAGCACACAGTTCCTTCAAGTATTGGAACTCTTCAACACCAGGGAAAAAGACAATAAAGTTCAACCTACGTTGCGTTTGTCCTTAAAGGCGAACTTTTTAAAGGGAGCGGTATAAAAAATAACTATTTATAAATTTAAATCGAAAGATCTTGAAATTCGTATTAGATGTGATATGTGATGTCTAGCAATAATAGCACAAGCTTTTTACACTATGTATTATATGACAATTGAAGTAAAAAGAAGAACTAATATACTGTATAAGCATAAAAAAAGATGCAATTTTCTCCAAATGCCAGGATACCTATATTTTTCTATCCTAAATTATATTTGTTTATCAATTTTCAATTAGAAAATGCATAGCTGTTGTTTTTATTCGCATTTCCTGAAAATATATTTGAGATTTGATAATTTTCCCTATATAATATGATTAACTATAATGATGAACTTAGAAGAAATTCCATGGGTAAATTCACGTTAGAATGTGAAATCAGAGAATTTTTGTGAGCATTTTCAGTTACTTAAAAGCTGATTTTCAGAACCTGAGGATCGGACTACCTTAAGCAAAATTTGCGGCAAAATAAACTTTCAAAACAAGCATTTTTTCTTCTGATTGCAGGAATGGTCACCATCCATTCTACAATTAACTTTACACGATTACATTAAACGGGTTTTTGAAGGTCTAGAATGCAAGGGCCTGGGCCTTTCTAATTGGGAAAAAATAGCGACATTTGTATGGAATTGGGAAAAACAATTTATACAAAGAAGTACTGAAAAAGATCAAAGCAGTGCATAAAGCAGATATAACTGGACTCCTATTGGCTTTCAATTTGAAAAAAAAAATTACTTAACAATTTCTAGGCAAAAATTGTAATCTGTGGACCCGTGAAGGAGATTAATGAGCGATAGGCTACCTTGCTTTGACATGTACATTTGTTCATCGTTTGGGAATTTCAAAGCAAAAATTGGGGAAAATATCTGCTTTTCAGCATTGGGATTAGGGCCTTTTTTCGGCCCCCTACAGACCCTAAAAACACCTGCACTAAATAAAAGTAAGCATTTACGAAGTACGAATCTGTTTTCAAAAGGCGGGGTCATCACAGTTTCTTGAATCTCTGTACGATAATGAGGACGGTCCACTTTTTACTGACTTCAACATAGTAAGCGCATGTTTGTCTTTTGTTCTGTCCTTTCTGACATATTTTATTTTATTCAATTCAATTCTTTATTCACTCAAAACCAGAACACTGGTACAAGAGGAACATATACACATATATACACACAAAAATTACAGTCAAGGGTCAAAAAATAGACAAGTATATAAAGAAAAAAGAAAAGAAAGTAAACATATAATCAGTTATATATATGGAGGATTCAAGAAGGACAGACAGTTTTGAAGATATTCTTAATAAATTTTGACAATGATTTTTGTATTTCTACATTATTTGTGTTCATTAGTTCAGTAAATTTGAAAGTGTTAGGATTTTTACAATATCTATTTTGGAGAAATATTTTTCTGTCATTCGAAAAGAACTTGCATTCCATAACATAATGAAATTCATCACCAATAGTTTTACAATCACAAATGGTACATATTCTTAAATTTCTATCAATATTATTCCATCTACCTGTTTCAATTGGCAAATGATGATTACACGTTCGTAGTTTTGTAAGTGTAACTCTTAAATCTTTCGGTAAATTCACCAGATAATTTTCGAAACCAAAGTTTGTTTTAAAAATTCTATAATTAATACACTTGGGTGAACTATCAACAATGCTTCTCCATTCTTGTTCAAATTGATTTTTAGGGTATCTTTAATAATTGACTTAAGCCAGTTAAAACTATGAAATGTTTGACTTGTCCATATATAAGACAATCCACAAGAATTAAGCACATCTTGAACACATTTTATCCATGGATGTACAAACGACCCATCGATATAACACCTATAAAAATATGAATAAATCACATTTGTAAGCTTACTTTCATGGGCTGTTAAAATTTTTGCCCAGTACATAACCATTTTTAATTTTATAAATAATGACAGTGGATATCTACCTGTTTCTCCATACACCATACAATTTGAAATACTAGATTTAAGATTAAGAATAAATTTCAGGAATTTTAAGTGCACTTTTTCTATTATGTCTAAATTTTCATATCCCCAGACTTCACAAGAATAAAGTAAAATTGGGTTGATGACTTTATCAAACAAGTCTAGCTGACAATTATAATTGGTAAATTAAAATAGTGAATTTTACGTAAGACTCCATACATTGCTTTTGAAGCTTGTTCTGCTAAATGTTTTTTTTTGCATTATTAAACTTTCCACTTCTTGACAGGAATAAACCCAAGTAACAGAATTCTTTCACATTTTCAATAGCCACACCATTATATAAAAATTTACGTTTTGCCATTGGACCTTTAGAAAATATAAGGACTTTTGTTTTGGCTATGTTAGCACGGAGTTTCCATAAATCACAGTATTCAGCAAACACATCAAGAGACTTTTGTAAATCAGAAGCAGATTCGGACATTAAGACCGTATCATCAGCATAAAAAAGTATACATAGTTTCAACATGACAAACATGTCATCTTGCTTTTGTTGACTAGGACATGTAAAGCCATTTATTTGATTTCTGGTTAAATAATCCTCTAAGTCATTAATGAACAATGAAAATAAAAAAGGTGATAAATTTTCCCCTTGTCTTACACCGACATTACACATAAAAAAATCTGATAAGTGTTGACCTATTTGTACCTTTGATTTAATACCCTTATACATGTTTCTAATAAATCTGAGACATTTTCCATTAATTCCACTTTGTAAAATTTTAGTCCATAGACCATGTCTCCAGACCGTATCAAAAGCTTGCTTGAAATCTACAAAGGCACAGAATAACTTCTTTTTATTATTCACGGCATATTTGCTCAGAAAATCAATAACAAATATATTGTCAAATAAATTCTGCAATATGACTACATTAAGTAGTCATATTGCAGAATTTATTTGATAAAATAAAATATGTCAGAAAGGACAGTTCTCCGTTTAAGGAGGCTGGGGGGGTCAACAAATTAACCATCAGATATAACTATGGGAAATAGCGATCCCTTTTTTAAAACATGCTTATGTAGTCTAATCTTTCTTATACTGTTAGCTACATCTCTCATGCATACCTAATGTTCAAGTGTAAATTCTCTATATTTGGAAAGCAGCAAAGACAAAAGCATACAATTACTTTATTGAATCCAACGGCGGATCCAGGAATTTCATAACGGAGGGGGGGGGGGGGCGCAGTAGAAGGCAGGGGGATTGGGGGCTGCATTGAAGACTGTCCCCAGCGGGTCCAGGATAAAGCCCTGGTGGGGGTCCGGACGAATTCTATAACAAATAAGAGGTGTTTTTCCCTTGATTTTAGGATAATACAAACAAAATGTTGGATCCGCCTTTAGAATCACAGTCTTAAATCATTTTAACATTTAAATTTGATACCAAATTGACAGGATTCTTTAATAAAAATGTACAGAATTGAATTAGGTTATAAGATATAAAAGCAACAGAAGCGACCGAAACACCCCAAACCAGTGCAGTCAACTTTTTTCTTTTGGGCGAAAAGTTTCAACATCGGTCATTTATCGGAGCGTATTTTAAAAAAAATCCCCATGTAGCTCATGTACATGATTTTTTCTCTTTATCTGTTCATGCATAGTAACCAATTCTTTTTCATTTTTTGTTTTGTTTTGGGTTTTTTTTAAACATAAAATGTATACCTTAATTATACAGAAGTGAAAAACTCAATTTAAGGATAAAATCCTTGCAATTAAGTAGGAACAGGGACTGTGTGTGTGTGTGGTTGGGGGGGGGGGGCTACGCCTGCCAGTTTTTTTCGCAAACCGCACGGCATTAATTAACGACTTATCCCCCATTATGTCAGATAACTTGAATGAAGATCGACAGTTTTATACCTTATGGTTTATTTAACTTAGCCTTAATTTATTTCTTTGTCAGCTTGCTACCTGCCTACAAAACTGAAGGTCAGTGGTCCGCCCCCCCCCCCTCCTTTCTCCCCGTCTAGATCCGCGCATGGTATATCAATATTGTCCAATTATATCTATCCATGAGAGAAAATTAAATAACCTTTGCTACTTTCTCTGCCCCCTTTTTCGTGCACTCTACCCCCTTTCAAGCCCATTTCACAACGCACATCTTTTTAGGCTAATATCTTTGTGTTGGATTAAGTAAATCTTTCCAATCCAACTTATCTTCAATAAAATACAAGATATGTCCAAAATAAAAAGTAGAAGGTATTTTTATTAACATTTCAGTTTAATCTTTATTCAAAACAGACTAAAGAATAAAGAAAAAAAAATATTTATTTGTTTATTTTATTAATTTCTTAATTAGTCAATTTAAAAAGGTATCTACATACATTATCGTCGCAAGCCATGGGTTTCGTGTCCATTCTATTTCCAAAACCCGTGTTTGTGGAAATAGAATGGACAAAACCCATGGCTTACGACGATTATCACATCATTTTATTTTTTTCCAAATACAATCGGGATCGACATACAGTTGTCGATCATACAGGAAAAATAAAAAGAAGCGAATTATAAGAATTATATGGTAATTTTATCCTATTACGCATTTTTGAAAAGGTTATTTTATACTTTCTTTTCTTAATTCAATGTTTTAACTTCATAATTTACAAATAAATAAATAAATAAATAAAAAATAATAATAATTATCTATTTCCGTACCCTTTTCGTCTAATATACATACCTTATCGCACATGTCAAGAACTTTCACTTTCCTGTTTCCATTTTGCAGGACTTTTTTTGACTTTATCAAACCCTAATGAAAATGTCAGACTGTAACTTTGTATCACAGGACGTGAGCATGGATGGAACAATGAGTGACGATTCTAATTTTGCTAGCACGTCATCCTGGACCGGGATCGCCACATCAGAGCCGATGGACGACAAAGAGAAGGATGAGGACATTGAATCTTATTACTTCGAGTCGGACCATCTAGCGTTTCGCGGAAACAGCGATTATAACACAATGTTGAAAACGATAGCCTTACTAGAGGCACAAAGAATTCAAGCTATAGCAGACATAGAGAAGCTGCATGAATGCATGGATGATGCTCTAAAAAGCCCAATTGAGTTTGTAAATAAGCTGCAGCATGGTGTAGATCTAGGTTTACCAAAAGCACAGCAAATTGCAGAACTCCCTGAAATCAACTGGGAGAAATACACAAGCTCGGTTGACTTTTCCAGTTTTGGATTTCCTAAACATGTGACTCGATTAAGAAAGCAGTTAGTTGAGGGACCAAGCAATCCAGAATGCTTGGATGACTCCGTGAAAGTGGAGGGTAATATGACATTAGTGAGAGGTAGAGTAAAAGGAGAAGACAAGACAGAAACATTCAACAAGTTATGGACAGCAGAGGAACAGAAAAGATTAGAGGAACTTTTGGTAGAATTTCCTCCTGAAGAAGTGGAAGCAAAACGATGGGCAAAGATTGCAAATGCACTTGGAAACAGAACACCTATCCAAGTGGCAAGCCGTGTGCAGAAGTACTTCATTAAGCTGGCCAAAGCAGGACTCCCAATTCCTGGGAGACTTCCAAACATTGCTTTTCACAGACCAAAGCATTCACATAGACATCAAAGATTCCAGAAGTTTTACTACCAACCATCCACATTCCTGACATCCCACGAACCTCCAGTTTATATGTCAGATGATGAGAATAATTCAGAGTCCTTCTATGGTGGTGATGAATCAAAAGAAAACTTCCTGAGTTCTGGATTTGATAACTCAGACAATGATGAAGATCCAGACGAAGATGAACTCATTCCTATTGAACTGAGAAATACACCAGAGTATGAAGAATTGATGCAACTGAAAAAACTAAAACACCACAAAATGAAAGTGAAGAGAGAAGTGACCACAAAACATTTTGGCTTCAAATGTGATGGTTGCAATTGTGACCCAATAATTGGTACAAGGTGGCATTGCCAAGATTGTGATCAAGAAGACTGTGTGGATTTTTGTGAAAAGTGTGTCAATAGAAACATTGAGGTAGGACAACATAACTCCAGTCACCGCCTAACAGCTGTAACGAAGGACTACACTGATTATGGGACACATAACTCCAGTCACCATCCAACAGCTGTAACAAAAGACTCTGCTGATAGTGATTATGGGACACAGTCTTTCATGCCAGAGGGATATAACTATTTAGACCCAAATTACATGCCTGCAACATAGGCAAAAATCACAAACAATAGCTGTACATAACAATGGTAAAAAAATAAATCAGTCTGTAGTAGAGTTTATTTAATTGCAACAACAGATATTTTAAATAGCAGATGGCTCTAATAAAGGTAAATAATCAGTGTGTAATGTATAGTACATGCATTGGTATAGTTTTGTATGAACTTATGAAGTGAGATGTCTTTATGTATATGTTATATGTGTAGTGTAACTTCCATTTACTTAGATATACTCAGTGCATATATTTTATCACAAAATATAAACCAAGTACAATATATTAATACTATCTTAACATCAGAAATGTTCCTGAATTTTTTTTCAATTATACTTTTCCATTTTGCTTTTATAAATCTGTGTTATAAGATATAAAAAGATTGTAAGAGTAGATTTCTACAGTCTGGTAATATGAAACATGGCTGGAATTAAGGGGATATCTTGGTACAGATGTGGGAATCTGCCTCTCATGTGTTATAGGATCACAACTGTTCACCAGGGTCTCAACCATTTTCGGTGTACCACTGAGGTAAAAACTCAAACCTGGAGCCAGGATCCTGAACAGAACAAGTTATCTCCCCTGGAGGGGTCCATTCAAACAAGTAAACTGTCCTACAACACAAAAGATTGACAGGCCAAATTCAGAATGTTATGGAGAAAAAAAGGGAAATCCTCTGTCAAATGTTCAAATGCATGTGCAATCTGAGAGTAAAGTTTCATGATTTATTTTAATGACTATAAGTTTTAATGATGTCTAGTTTGAATGACTTTAAGTTTTAATGATTATAACTTACCTGGGGTCATCTTTAACACAGATTCTCTTCACGTGAGAAAGAAATTTGTCCAGAAAATTGAAACAAATCACTGGATCCCACCCATCACGTTCATCCTGCAAATAGTGAAGACAATAAATACAGATGAACATTCATTTTATTGTGATCATGAATGCTTTGAGTAAAGAGCACACTTAGATAAAATTTGCCACTTGTCTGTACATTTTTTTGTTTATTAGTTACTTGCCTTGGCTTGATGAGGAATTTTCAGCATTTTCATTTTCTCAAGGCTATGTACCACCCCACCATCATCACGATAACCACAGACAATAGTTGGAATACCCACAAGGAAACTCTGGGCCCACCACTTTATTAACTTAAACCTTAAATAACCTAAATATTGTTAGTCTAAGTTTCAAGAGTTATGCCCCTTTTCATTATCTCTGTAACTTTAATGCTGCTGTCAAAATAAATATCATCCTACTGTAGATTGTAATGCAAGTCTAATCATTACTTGATAAAGTTCCTCTCTTGTCTATAATTATCTAGCTGCCTTGTTGTTTTGAATTCTACATATTTACAGGAGTCCTTTGCTTGAAGGTCAATCGCATCAACTTCCCCAGAGAACACTGTATATAGAGAGAAGAAAAAATGCATACAAATCATGAAAACTAAAAACAGTACAAGATTGCACATTATTATTAGTTTGCCTTTACCTAAAGTTAAAACAGAATATTTAAGCATTTTTTCAATGTGAATTCTTTTTAAAAGGTTTGCTGGCTTTGTTAAAAAAGATTTTCAAAGGTATATTATAAATTTTCAATGGATGACCAACTACATGCAAGTCCCACCCCTAGACACAGAGGACATGAATTTCAAAACCTTGGTAGATGGCTAGCTGCTCATTATATTCATTCAAACAGTTTCCTTGATAGATGTCAAAGAGTAAAGGAAAATTTTGGAAATTGGCATGAATTTTGATGGTTTTGTCCCCATCCCCCTAGGCCCCAGTTGGACTATGATCTTGATATTAGCAGTTTTTGTTTCCCTTTGTCCTTAGCTGGTATATACCAAAATGCTTAAAATATTCAGAAATTCATGAATCATGCTTTACTTTGTCGGAGAACAGATGGCAATAGGTCATTATATAACATCATTTAACATTTGCTCCTTTATACAGTGGTATGCTGTAAATTCCTGAATAACATTGGTGATTAACATGACTTGTAGACATCAAATTACAAGAACATAAATATGTGTGAGTGGATTATTAAGACATTTATCATGTATATCACCAAGAGCAAAGTGAAGATTTTTCTTTCGTCAGTGTTGCTTGTTGCGAAATTACATGATAATAAACTCCTTGCATATTATTATATTTAGGAATCAACAGTAGCTCATAGGATATCATTTTCATATCCACGGTTGTGACATCACAATGGTTTTTGCGCAAATTTGATCAAGTCAAATATTGTGGATTTACATATATAAAACAGTATAAAACATGAAATAGCAATGTGTAAAACAGGATAAAAACAATCTCCCATGGTTTGTGGTTAGATGTACCGGTAATTCATTGTGTGTTTTTATCCCTTCACCAAGGCTTGGGGATAAAAACACAAAACTTGTTGAATAAAAAATCATATCCAACTACAAACCATTGGAGATCATATACATATCTAGATAGATCTCTATTTGACAATCATATTTTAATAAGACAGAATTTACATGTTTTGGCATAGAACCCATTAAGTGGCTGTAATATGATAATGGAATCCCTAAGTTCCTTACACATTGAGTACTTCTCTAAAGTGTGATAATGAAATCCCTAAGTTCCTTACACATTGAGTACTTCTCTAAAGTGTGATACTGAAATCCCTAAGTTCCTTACACATTGAGTGCTTCTCTAAAGTGTGATAATGAAATCCCTAAGTTCCTTACACATTGAGTACTTCTCTAAAGTGTGATACTGAAATCCCTAAGTTCCTTGCACACTGAGTACTTCTCTAAAGTGTGATACTGAAATCCCTAAGTTCCTTACACATTGAGTACTTCTCTAAAGTATGATACTGAAATCCTTAAGTTCCTTACACATTGAGTATTTCTCTAAAGTGTGATAATGAAATCCCTAAGTTCCTTACACATTGAGTACTTCTCTAAAGTGTGATACTGAAATCCCTAAGTTCCTTACACATTGAGTGCTTCTCTAAAGTGTGATACTGAAATCCCTAAGTTCCTTACATAGTGAGTACTTCTCTAAAGTGTGATACTGAAATCCCTAAGTTCCTTACACATTGAGTGCTTTTCTATAGTATAATACTGAAATCTCTAAGTTCCTTACACAATGAGTACTTCTCTACAGTATGATACTGAAATCCCTAAGTTCCTTACACATTGAGTGCTTCTCTACAGTATGATACTGAAATCTCTAAGTTCCTTACACATTGAGTGCTTCTCTAAAGTGTGATACTGAAATCCCGAAGTTCCTTACACATTGAGTACTTCTCTAAAGTATGATACTGAAATCCCTAAGTTCCTTACACACTGAGTACTTCTCTAAAGTGTGATACTGAAATCCCTAAGTTCCTTACACAGTGAGTGCTACTCTAAAGTATGATACTGAAATCCCTAAGTTCCTTACATAGTGAGTGCTTCTCTAGTCTTGATCTGACCACTGTACAGTATGCTTCACAATTATTGACTGGTTCTCCTGTGTTTGGAATGCCATCTGGTTTATCTGTAGTAGAAAAGCAAGTAAATAACAGTACCTCCTAGCAAACATAGAATTTCTAAGAAAACTAGAGGTACTGTGAGCACTGAGCTCACAAAATGATACCCCCCCCCCCAACCTCCCATGTGATTATAATGGCAAAGTCCATGTTTTGCTACGGGAGACCAGAAATTAGTGTCGGAACAAAAAGTAAGATAGGAGGTGCACAATGGCACTATGTAACAAAGATTCTGTGAAAGTCTCATTAAATTTCATTCAGTGGACTGGTATAAGAGGAGTTGCGAATAAGAGATGGGTACCCCTCAACATTATAGAAAGAATGAAAGTGTCTATATTTTACCACTGTAAACTTAAAATATGTGTCTGAACAAAAAGTAAAATAGGAGGTGCACAATGGCACTATGTAACAAAGATTCTGTGAAAGGCTCATTAAATTTCATTCAGTGGTATAAGAGGAGTTGTGGATAAGAGATGGGTACCCCAAAGTGAAACGGATGGATGTACAGACAGACAGATGGACATCACCATCACTATACACCCCCCGCTTTTTCAAGCAGGGGTATAAATATACTTGGTGTCTACAAATAATTTGCAGAAGTACTGATCTGTGATTTTCAGTAGCAAATTATTAAGATAATGTGCCCATGTATCAAGTTCATATAACTCTAGATGTGCTTATTCATTTCAATGCAGGCATAAATCTACAGTTATAAGTTCCATGTATTTTAGGTACAAGTTCTTGACTCTGTCTGACAGGTAGTCTGACATAAAACATACCTGAAGTAACATACTGTTCAAATTTCCAGCCCCAATAAGACATTTCCCTTTGCCTGTCTGACATTTCTTCCTTCTGTCGCTTTCGGCTTTCTGTATCAAATTCACACATGTAAAATGTATCTTTGTACCGAGTAACAGCTATAAGCCAACCATCCCTGTTTTCATAAGGAGTGCAGAGCAACTTTGTCAGAAGTCCCCTCCAACAAACAAAATCAGTATGAATATTCCTGTAAATTATAAGTAGAAACATGACATGAAAACTAAAGTTTTAAATCTTCCAAATTCAAATTAACCATGCTCATTTCAAATGAAACATTATTTAGATATGTTAACATTCAACAGTATGAGGAGGGCAAAGGTCCCAGAATCTGATGGATTGTAGAGGTTTACAAGATGCATTTTTATTCACCTCTCTTGCTCATTTTACTTTAAATTTGTTAATCAATTATGTATCACTGTGTATTGTTTTAAACTTATCAAATCTTACACTCATACACAATAGCTTATTAACTTTTTTAATTGAAAAAAAAAAAAAAACCAAAACAACAAAGAGTACTTTGTAATTTTGCAGGGTCCAGCACATTACACGAATTAATCCTACTATAATCATGATAATGTCAGAGTCTAATTTGTTTTCTATGTCTTTGATTATTGTAACACAGATTTTTTTCTCATCATGTAATATCTACTTCAGTGTTTTAATGTTGCTTCCAATTAAAATTTCTTCTTCTGTATCCATTTATTTGAAAACATTGTGGATGCTTGGGTATATAGGAGCATACAGGAGTATGCCTAGATATGTCACTGAAGTACCAGAAAGGCTATATGTTAAACATATTTCTCATAAGGTTTTTTTTTTGGGGGGGGGGGGGAGAAAAAGTTGTTATCCTCTATAGAATATTCTTATCAATACAATGATATTGTCCTACAGACTTGGTTTAGTGAGGAAATACTTTCTTTGTGTTGGCAATGCAGCACAGAAACAGAATTAGATAATTCTTATTCATGTGTAAACTACAAATAATTCAGAGAGTTTCAAACATCAACAAGGCATGTAAATTTAAATCAAGGAAATTTGTTTTTTAGAAATATGCATCAATTTTTACTTTAAATGGATTATTTTCTTGGGTACATGTATATATATTATGAGTATATGCAAGCTCAGAAAGGTTGGATATGATTAATTGAATAATTAATTTCAGTGCAGCACCTTTTGCATTTATCAAAAATCGTGCCATAGTGGATCTGCTCTGTTTTGCTACGTGCAACTACATGGAACATTCTAACTGGGTTGAGGGCTTGTTCCGAGACACTATCAAGTATTAAAGGATGACTAGTTGGAATTATCTATTCCAACTAGTCATCCTTTAATACTTGAGCAAGCTCACCTGATCTTCCCTTTCTCTTTGTCCGACTTTTTCTTCTCATCTTCTAACAAAAACTTTTCTCTGTTACAACAAATCCACTTCAGAATATCATTTATATACTCTTCTGAATTTTCATCTTTTTCTATGAAATTATGATATCCTTTTCTTAAATCAAATTTAACACTCTGAATATCTTTTGGTTGTATATAGTATTTCAACTGACTTCTGTTATTGTGGAAATTCCTTTTTATGTCTAGAGACAAACAACCTATTTCTGTCGGCTGTCTAAAAAATGGAAAATTGCCAGTTCCTTTGAACAAACTGCTTGGTCTTGTTTGTAAAGAGGTGAGAGTTTGGTATCTTCTTTGATATTTATTTTTGATGTCTCCACAGATAGGATCATCGTCTATTTCTCCATATGAACGTTTCATTTTGACGACAGAAAAAAAAGAATACCCTACATGTCATACACCAAACATATCCCTGCCACTTTTTTTCTTGTTTACACGTGTGGAAAATGAAAGTACATTAACGGAAGTGGATTATTGGCCAATAAAATTCCTGGTTATCTTTTTTTCCGTTCCTAAAGTATGGAAGCTTCCATAACAGAGTTTGGAAAAATAATTCATTTTGCAGACATTTACATTCACTATTTTAAATGAACAAACGGGGTACCGAAAGTTAAGTTTTCCAGTCAGAACTTTCAACCGGAGCAGGTTGTGTTTATTTAACTTCGAAGTCCAGTAGAAATCAGCCAGGTGCAAGTGCGTCTAACCTTGTTTCAGCCTTAAACGTTTTGGGCCTCTGTTTTTTCAGACTATCGCAATTTCTTCCTATAGGCAACAGCCTAGTTTGTAAATAAAAATATATCTACTGTATATAACATTATTTTATAGTTTAGTAGACATTTATTTTTAAAATACAAAATTAAGCTGGTAAAGCCTATGTTTCTTTCTTGAACCCAATTTTATATTATAATTTGGTCTGGCACAATATCTTGATTTAGCTATATAGCTTGAGCTAACTATATAGTTTCATTTTATTTAGCTCTTCAAAAAAGCTTGATTGAGCTATTTTGTCATATTTTTTCTTAAATGTGCAGTTTTTCAGCAGGTAAAAAAAGTTGAACTTTGATACAATGAAAGTGTTCAGCTTTGGACTGTTCTGAAACCAATGCATGAAAAAAAGTCACTCATCAAATTGCATCTCCTTGAGGGACTGTGTACTCAAAGTTCAAAAGTTTTTGGGGTTGTATAAAGCAAGTGATTTAAGTGATAGCCGCTTGGTTTCAGCAGGGTGTATTTTTGTATTATTTGTTTTTCTAGGTGTGTCTAAATACACTTATTAAAATAAAAATAAAAAATCCCTGATGTTAACATGTTCTAAATATATCATATTACTGTACATAAAAACAGTGAGCTTATGACAGTTGACATCTTCGATTTCAGGGGGTGCCTCGGTTCACGCTCGATTTTAATCTATATCTACACTTTTCCTACCAATGTTGGGTGAGATCTAGCTTAAAAACTGATTGAATAAAGCCCTCTAATCGTCTGTCGATTTGAACTTGCCTTATAAAACATGAGTTTACCAAAATGTCCTTGATACCTAGCATTAAAACTGAAAGCAACAGAAGTGAGGATTTTTAACTATGTTAAATATAGAGGCATTCCACAATTACACGGAAAGTCTAGAGAGATCAAAAACTGCATGAAACTTGTTCTTTCTAAAATGTTTCAATCACTGAAAAAAGATAAACATCCTCTTCAGTGTACAAAAGCATAGAAGGTTCATAATCCCTCAGTTCACATTTAGAATTTTTTTTATTTAATGATAATGATTGTTAGAAAGAAATCTAATATTAAACTTGAATGCAATTAACTTCTGATCAGAATATCCTGCAAGGATAAATTGGACAGTTATTGCCATTATGTTTTATGTAAGTTAAACAGTCTTTAATGCAGACAGAGTTATCCCTCTTATCAAAGGAGCTATAGAGCTGCAGCTTGAGTGGCACTTGGCATTGTTAGCTGCATTAGTTTGCTTGTGTTGTTAAAAATATAGCAAGTCATAATGAAGTATTAACTTAGTTGGGAATGAAAAAAGAATTCTTTAAATTCTATATTTTGTAGAGTTTAAATCATGTCCAAAAGGTCCATGGTTAATGATCTGTATAAGTCCAGAAAAAGAATCTGCACTGCTTCAATTTCTTCTGCCAAAGACACACCTGAGTTCAACGATGGAGTGAATGGAACTTCATTCTCCAGTAACAAAATACTGTCTTTTATCAGGAACACACAGAATCTGGCAATTTATTATTTACTGTATTTTTAAAGTTGAATATGGCTTCAAGCATTGTACAGAAATTTTAGTTTGAATATTGATATTGTCAAACATTTGTTACTTAGGAAATTAAACATTTCATTTCAATGAATATTGATATTGTCAAACATTTGTTACTTAGGAAATTAAACATTTCATTTCAACTTTTGTTTTAGCGGCAGAGATACCCTCGGACACCAAAGTGTCACTCCTCCATCTTCAACAGTTATTTCCCTTAGATAAGTTTGAAGGAAGATTACCAGTAGTGATAGTGAAACATCAACTATACAGCTTACTGAAGGACAAAACAGCTGTCGATAAACAAATAGTAAGACTTACTCAAGCTAGACTAAGCTCAAGTGATGTAAAACGTGTTGAAAATTAGTTAGATTTTAGATTACAGCTACCAAAAACTCCAGTCAAAGTGTTTTTTTAGGATGATTTAAAACAAGCCAATGAGATTAAGTTGTTCAAGCTTGGTGCTGAGTTAGATGACTACTGTATTGTGTTCACTGAGGCGTATCAAGATCATGTGATCAGCGTGATGAAAGAACTCTCCATCAGCAAAAATACTTGTAGTAAGAAGTTCAGACTGTATTATTACAAACTCCAATAGAAGTTAACTGGTTAATAATGATGAGTTGTATGAGAAAAAAAAAAGTTGTTTTCATGAATTATGAGATACGTGTATATCAATATGACTTTTGCAGATAAATTTGTGAATACTGTCATAAAGAAATATACAGATGTCTGCATCAACAAAGACACTTTGATGAATGAATTCAACTTCACAGACTCAGAAATTACGTAAGAGGTTGTGAAATTGTTCTAGTATTACAGAAACATTCAGGTAAATAACTGTAAACTATCTTAATTCCAGGCAGCTGGTGAAAGCCTCTGTCCTCACAGTGAGGGATGTAGGGAACTGGTGGATTGCTTTACCTAATGCGGGAGTCTTTATGAAGTGTTTTCTACGAGGAAGAAAGGCCATTCTGACAATGATAAGAAAATGCAAATACCGAGAGATTCTTCAAACGGTAAGGAAAAGCAAATACTGGGCGGTCCTTCAAATCGTAAGACCAAGATATCGAAATTTCAAACTGAACAGTAACATATAAGTACATGTAATTGAATCATTAAACAACAAAGTACATTATTGGCTGTATTAGGCCGAGAAATTTTGGATTTTACAAGTACAATTATATTTTGTGTAAGTTGGAAGTGAATGATGTGAACAGCTATTAATGTGAACACGGACAACATTTACAGAGGATGCAATCCAAATTCACTTATAAATAAAATTATAAAGGTGACATTTGTAACCTACATTATTAGTCTTGTCCACTAATTCAAGTACACCAAATATATGATTTAAAGTTGCATAATGAGTCAAAACCATGTGTTTCTTTTAAGAAAATTGTATCACAAAACAAAAGATTTCTGTGAAATATGAATATAGCGAAGTTTTGACAACTCAACTGCACTGTAAAGCAAGAAAAAAAAGCTGCAAAATATAAGTGCCGGAAAAACAAGTGTTGTATCTATCGCTTTGTTTTTATCGTCAATGTCAACAATGTCAAGGTCATGCGTCCTTTATTTTTAGCTTGAAACTTGTAAACAACATTGAATTGGGGCAAGCAGAAGTAAGGAATAAGTTATGATAATCTTTTTTAGCTCACCTGAGCTGAAAGCTCAAGTGAGCTTTTCTGATCACCCGTTGTCCGTCGTCCGTCCGTCCGTCTGTAAACTTTTCACATTTTCAACTTCTTCTCAAGAACCACTGGGCCAATTTTAACCAAACTTGGTACAAGGTATCCTTGGGTAAAGGGGAGTTTAAATTGTTGAAATAAAGGGCCAAGTCCCCTTACAAGGGGAGATAATCAAGAAAAGACAAAAAAAGGGTGGGGTCATTAAAAAATCTTCTTCTCAAGAACCACTGGGCCAAAAAAGCTGAAACTTACGTGGAAGCATCCTGGGGTAGTGTAAATTCTAAATTGTAAAAATCATGACCGCCGGGGGTAGGGCGGGGCCACAATAGGGAATCCAAGTTTTACATTGAAATATATAGGAAAAATCTTTAAAAATCTTCTTCTCAAGAACCACTGGGCCAGAAAAACTGAAACTTATGTGGAAGCATCCTGGGATAGTGTAGATTCTAAATTGTTAAAATCATGACCCCCGGGGGTAGGACGGGGCCACAATAGGGAATCCAAATTTTACATTGAAATATATAGGAAAAATCTTTAAAAATCTTCTCAAGAACCACTGGGCCAGAAAAGCTGAAACTTATGTGGAAGCATCCTGGTATAGTGTAGATTCAAAATTGTTAAAATCATGACCCCCGGGGGTAGGGCGGGGCCACAATAGGGAATCCAAATTTTACATTGAAATATATAGGAAAAATCTTTAAAAATCTTCTTCTCAAGAACCACTGGGCCAGAAAAGCTGAAACTTATGTGGAAGCATCCTGGTATAGTGTAGATTCTAAATTGTTAAAATCATGACCCCCGGGGGTAGGACGGGGCCACAATAGGGAATCCAAATTTTACATTGAAATATATAGGAAAAATCTTTAAAAATCTTCTTCTCAAGAACCACTGGGCCAGAAAAGCTGAAACTTATGTGGAAGCATCCTGGTATAGTGTAGATTCTAAATTGTTAAAATCATGACCCCCGGGGGTAGGGCGGGGCCACAATAGGGAATCCAAATTTTACATTGAAATATATAGGAAAAATCTTTAAAAATCTTCTTCTCAAGAACCACTGGGCCAGAAAAGCTGAAACTTATGTGGAAGCATCCTGGTATAGTGTAGATTCTAAATTGTAAAAGTCATGTCCCCAGGGGGTAGGGCAGGGCCACAATAGGGAATCCAAATTTTACATTGAAATATGTAAGAAAAATCTTTAAAAATCTTCTTCTCAAGAACCACTGGGCCAGAAAAGCTGAAACCTATGTGGAAGCATCCTGGGATAGTGTAGATTCTAAATTGTAAAAATCATGACCCCTTGGGGTAGGGCGGGGCCACAATAGGGAATCCAAGTTTTACATTGAAATATGTAAGAAAAATCTTTAAAAATCTTCTTCTCAAGAACAACTGGGCCAGAAAAGCTGAAACTTATGCGGAAGCATCCTTGGGTAGTGAAGATTCTAAATTGTTAAAATCATGACCCTGGGGGGTAGGGCGGGGCCACAATAAGTATTACAAGGGGGAAATCTGGTAAAGAACAGCATGGCCAAAGTTACTCAGGTAAGCGATGTGGCCCATGGGCCTCTTGTTAAAGATTGTATCAAAATTCTCAGTCATCCGACATTTATCTATGGAATTGAAACCATGGTAAATTCTTCAACTCTTCAGCGCATGTGTACAATAAGGAGGAAGACGTGAAGCAATATTTTTGTGATGGGTTATACCAAGATTTTTTTACTCTTATTTTTCTCCATTAAATTAGATTTTTTAGGTTCTGAAACCTGTAATTTTCTGAAACCTAATATCTTCAAGAACTGAACAAAATTTGCATGTGTCATGCAAAAATTCTGCTGTTGTCAATTTTCCCGTTTGTCAGTCACAGTGTCACTTTAAACAAATACTCATAGACATTTTGCTCCAAATGCCTTAATTCATGATTACACTCATTAGTTGTTGGGGAAGATTGCACTAAAGTTTGAGTAATTTTGTACCTTTATGTATGTTTACAGTACTTTTTGGTCTGTCTGTCTGTTAATCTGTTTGTCTGCAAAAACTTTAACCTTGCCCATAACTTTTGATCAGTTGGTGCAAGGTCTTTCCTATTTCACATGTTTACTCCTTTTGACTAGATCTGTCTCTGTTGACCATTATTTTTGACTTGACCTCTTGACCTAAGAGTTTGAGATACTTTTGAGAAACTTAAACTTTGGCCATCACTTTGGCTTTCACATGTTTATTCCTTGTAGAATCTTTCTTTGGGTACCTTTATTTTTTGATCTCTTGATCTTAAAGTTTGACCTACTTCTGAAGGAGAACTTAAGCCTTGGTCATAACTTCTGAATGGTTGGTGCTAGGGCTTTTATATTTTACATTTGTATTCCTTATGATGAGATCTTTCTTTTTTACCTCATGACCTTGGAGTTTGACCTACTTAAGAAAAACTTCTAGATTTGCAATGAGCTCCCATGCAGGGGCATCAGTGTTTCTCAAACACATCTTTTTTTTTTTTTATTTCAATACACATGTATAACTAAGGACAAGTTTAGAAACCATTAGGATACATATCCATGTACAAATGTAAAACTAAAAGAAGTTGTTACAAGTAGAGGTGTAACATTTCTCTTCCACTATTGTACAGAAGTACAAACAAGTAGAGCATCAGTCTTGTCAGAGACCTCTGGTTTAGTTTTTACTGATTGATAATTAATTATATGTATTTAAAGAGAAAGCTTGTTAATAAATACAGGAATTGGAACAAAGAAAATGGCCTAAGATTTGCAAGCTGGGACTTCAGTATCACATGCATGAAGTAATTGGTGCTGATCTCATAAAATGGTAAGTCTCTATACGTACATGTATGTATTTTATTTTCAGCTCACCTGAGCTGTAAGCTCAAATGAGGTTTTCTGATCACATTGTTTGGTGTCCTTCTGTCTGTCCATGCATCACACATAATTTGACTATCTTAAGAGCCACTGGGCCAATTTCAACCAAACTTCGCACAAAACATCCTTAGGTAAGGGACAAATGAAGGCCATGTCCCCATCTAAGACTGGATAATCAAGAAAAGGCAGAAATAGGGTGGATTCATTTAAAAATCTCAAGAACCAGAAAAGATGAAACTTATATAAAAGTTTCTGACATAATGAAGATCATACCATGAAGATTATAAATTATGCAGGTAGGATAGGGCTACAAGAGAGGATCAAAGTTTTATGCAGGAATATACATTTACTGTATTTAGGAAGAGATCTTTAAACATCTTCTCATGAACCACCTGGCAGGAAAAAATGGAAAACTTTCTAACATCAAGTCATTGTTCCGAGGGTGCAGGGTAGGAGGACAATAGGGGATCAAAGTTTTACATTGGTATTTTGGAAATTTAAAAAAAAAGTAAGAAGTTGTATATCACACTAAATCATGTAATTGTGCAAACATTCCCAAGTTATGTAGATTCAAGCTTCTAGTCAAGTTATGGGGTTAGGATGGGATTACAATATGGGGTCAAAATTGTTCATAGGAATACAAAGGGGGAAAAAACTTCAAAATCTTCTAAAGAAGAGCAGGGTCATTGTGACTCAAATTAGAATTGTGGCTCATTAATCATGAGCCGCTGTGAGCCAAGCGCTCATGTGAGCTTGTCTTATCGAAATGTGTCTGTCTTCTTCTAGCTGTCTATCTGTCTGTTAACTTTTCACATTGTTTTCTTCTTCATAATATAAATGCAAATTTGTTCAAATCATGACCCCAGTGGGTAGGGTAAGGCCACAACAGGAGATCAAAGTTAAACATGGGAATATATCGGAAACAATCGTTTAAAATAGCCCTGGAGATGGGATGGGGCTACAATAGAGAATCAAACTTTTGAGAATATGTATTGGAAAAAATCTTTTTTTGCCCTCGCCATAAAATGGCCAAGTCATAAAGTTTTACTCCTTTCTGTCTGTCATTCCGTTGTAGTTTTCTGGACTTTTTTGGGCATTGTTTGTAGATAATAAGCTGTTTTTGGTATATCTGACTTACAGATTGAATTTGAGTTTCATTGATCCATTTTTAGCTCACTTCAACGAAGTTGGGGGAGCTTATGTAATACCCTCGGCGTCGGCATCAGTGTCGGTGTCCCAGGTTAAGGTTTTGGAGCAGTTTTCTTTTCAAGTACTTCTATGGCCTATATTAGTCAGAGATGCATGGAGGATGCTTCTAGTGTGTTTTATTGTACCAGTCAAGGTTTCAGATGCTGCAATTTCAGCTAAAGAATGACCAGGTTAATGTTTTTGGAGCAGGTTAAAGTTTTTGGAGCAGGTCTCATTTACAAGTAACTATAAGCCCTATATTGACCAAACTTGCATGGATGATACATCTAAGGATGCACACTACTGAACTTGCTTCGGATGCTGGATCTGACCTACATTTTCCGGATGAGTGACTAGGTTAAAGTTTTTGGAGTAGATCTCATTTCCAATTAACTATAAACCCTATATTGACCAAACTTGCATGGATGATACAGTACATCTAAGGATGCACACTACTGGACTTGCTTCGGATGCTGGATCTGACCTATATTTTTCAGATGAGTGACCAGGTTAAGGTTTTTGGAGCAGATCTCATTTCCAAGTAACTATAAGCCCTATATTGACCAAACTTGCATGGATGAAACATCTAAGGATGCACACTACTGGACTTGCTTCGGATGCTGAATCTGACCTAAATTTTTGGGATGAGTGACCAGGTTAAAGTTTTTGGAGCAGATGTCATTTCCAAATAACTATAAGCCCTATATTGACTAAACTTGCATGGATGATACATCTAAGGATGCACACTACTGGACTTGCTTCGGATGCTGGATTTGACTTACATTTTCCGGATGAGTAACCAGGTTAAAGTTTTTGGAGCAGATGTCATTTCCAAGTAACTATAAACCCTATATTGACCAAACTTGCATGGATGATACATCTAAGGATTCACACTACTGGACTTGCTTCGGATGCTGGATCTGACCTACATTTTCCGGATGAGTAACCAGGTTAAAGTTTTTGGAGCAGATCTCATTTCCAAGTAACTATAAGGCCTATCTGAACCAAACTTGCATGGATGATGCATCATCAAGGGACGAACAATCTCAAAACTTGCTTCGGATGCTGGATATGACTTACATTTTCTGGATGAGAGACTAGTTTTAAGTTTTCAGATAAGTCTATTCTAAAGTAACTGCAAGCCCTATCAGACCAAAATTGCATAAATGTTGCATCTAGGGATGCACACTCCTAGATTATTAGTTTAGTGTGGGACTTTGCCTTACTTAAAGACAACATTTGTTGAGGTGAGCTCTGTATTCTCTGATTACCTATGTTTATGAAGTTGTATCCCTTAGACTTCAAAAATTTCTAATTCAGTGTTTTTTATATACCCACTTGAAAAGCTGGTTTATAGTGAAAGGGGGGGGGGGGAGGTTCACTATGTCCATAACACTTAGGGGTATCCATTCTCTTATCTGTAATCCTATCCTATACCACTGAATAAAATTTAATGAGACTTTCATAGAATCTTTATTACATTGTTCCATTGTGCACCTCCTATTTTATGTTTCTATTGGACAGATATTTGGAGTTTCCCATAGCAAAAGTGCCATTCTTTCTATAATATTGGAGGTTACTCATCTCTTATCTGCATCTTAACATATACCACTGAATAGAATTTAATGAGACTATTACGGAATCTTTATTATATAGTGCCATTTTGCACCTTCCATTTAATGTTTTGATCGGGCAGAAATTTGGGTTTCCCATAGCAAAACATGAACACTGCCATTATACTTGATAAAGGAAATACTCAATTTGTTAACGCAACTCCACCTAAACCCCTGAGTGAAATTCAATGGTTCACAAAATCTCATTTACATACTGCCAAGAAATGCACTTTGCCTTTATACTCATATTGGAGTGGAGGTATCATTTTGTGAGCTCAGTGCTCACAATACCTCTAGTTTTACTTAACATTGCTTGATATTTACACAGACTTGAATCTTTCTATAAAAGGTATATAAAAAATGAAGAAAAAAATTATTTTTTACATTTAATGGAGCCTATCAGATAATGGTATCATTTTTCCATCATTTACAGTTGAATAGGTGATAATGATTTTGATGTGGGTTTGTACATGTATAAGCAACCCTTAATCATGAGTAGCAAATATAACAGATTTCTATTTATAACTGTATCTGTAATTGAAATGTACTATTATATTGTACTTAATAGAGTTAGGGTATTTATGTGTGTGTTAAATATCAATCTACAGTTTAGTATACTTTGTTCTTACAATTACCTAAAATGCAGTACAGTTAAAATTCAGTGTCCTGAATACTGATATCTCAAATGCCATGGATATGTCAAAGTGATAATGAAGTAAATTATTATAGAAAACAAGTGCCTGTTATAAGCCTACAATTTTAATCCAATGTTTTAAAAAAGTTTGATTTAGAGCAATGTATTTTTATCAATTGTTTTGCCTTTAAAGGGTCATGATATTAATTCAGTCAAAAAAAAGAAAATGATCAGATTCCCATCAAACTTCAACTTTTATGTACAATCGTTTTTTAATATTTTTTAATTTTTAATATATTTTTTAATATATTTAATACCGGTAAAAGTTTGAATATACAAAAACAACTTCTGGAAAACAAGAGTTTTGGACATCTAAATCTAAATTCTGCAGTCACCAGGCTTTCACTGACAAAGGACAAAGTAACTATGATAATGATCAGTTGATTTCAGCACTTCAATTGTCTGATTTCATTCTGTTTCTGTTTTTTAGCATTCAGACAACCTCAGGACAATTACTTCGTCTCAAGGACTCATAGTCCTACAGGAATCTCCTCTAACAGTTGCTCCTGTAGGATTCCCTAGTCCTACAGGAATCTTCTCTAACTTGCTCCTGTAGGATTTCCTAGTCCTACAGGAATCTCCTCTAACAGTTGCTCCTGTAGGATTTCCTAGTCCTTCGGGAATCTCCTCTAACAATTGCTCCTGTAGGATTTCCAGTGCCATCTGTTGTACAACATCAACACTGCCATGATAAACACAGAAATTAGTGGCAGGTTTAGCACAAACAGCTGAATCTAAAAGAAAAGAGCAATCAGGACATTGATGATATTACAGATTTTTAGGTCAATATTATTTATTTTACCCATTGTCTTTCTGTACATGTTGATTTTGTTAATGAGAGTATTGTTAATGAGCATTTCCAATTAAAGTGAATCAGACCTGGAGGACTGTGGCTCAGTTTGTTCATATGTGAAGTGAATATGTGTGAATGATTAGTGTGGGGTAATTTATTTTTCATCAGACAAAATATTTTTCATTCTATTTAAGAGACGAGCTTATGCATTGGTAATGTTTTCTAAAATAACCTGTTTAATATATGTATGTGTTTCTGATCTGTTAATTTTTTGATGACTTTCATGATTTATTTGAGAATAATGTCTGTGGTATTTCTCTGATCTTGACGATAACTGTAGCAGAATAAAAATGTTCCTTCTTTTATTTGAAAAGAAAGAAAACTTTATATAAATATTAACTTTGGACAGACATTATTTCTCTGTATATTTATATTGACATGGAATCACTTTTTAGAAAAGATTAACAAAGACATAGTTATTCTCTGATCATTACACATTCTAACCAGTTGAGCAACAGTCTCCGTAGAGATTGTGGTTTATGTTTCTTGATTACGTTGAAAGGAAGCCTGTCTCTCTTAGAATTGAACCCTATAACATTTCTTAATATCTTAACATGTTTTAGTTTGCAAAACAATGAAGATTATGACGTCTATGAAATTTTATATATTTTGGATGATGCAGATTCTTTTATTATGCAATATACTTATCATTGTAAGTCCTTTGTCATTTGACCTTTAGGATTCTACCTCAGGTACTGTTGGTATTAAATCTATATTTATGTTATAGCTATCATACATTAAAGGAGACTAAGAAATATTCTTACATTTATACAGCCACAATATTCTGCCTCATATTCAAAAATATATTTTTCACTTTTTAAAAAAAAAAAATGTGTTCTTTAATGTATATGTATTAAAAATGGAATTTCAATGATGTGACATGTTTTATAATTTTGGAGTGTGTTTTATAATGTAAATGATATTAACTTTGTTTCTAGTGTATTGATGTTCTGTATTCACTGTTTTATTTAATGAGTTAGTTGTGAAAAGGCATACTTTTATAATGCATGCCTGCAAAGAGAAGGGTACTAAAAATTATTTTAATTGGTTTTTGAAGTTTAGGAACTGAAATAAAATGTTTTGGATTTGTGTTTGTTTTTACCAAATTAACTGGGTTTAATTAATATTAAAACATGTTCCCTACATAAATAAATAAAATGTGTTGAGATTTTTAAGCTTTAATATAATCATATAAGTAGAAAAATAATGGCTTCCTTCAAGTGAATTAAATTCAATTATTAAAAATGTAGCAGCCAACTAGGACGAGCTATAAATTGTCTTATTAGCTCACCTGAGCTAAAAGCTCAAGCTTTTCTGATTAAATTGTGTCTTGCCTCTGTCTGTAAGCTTTTAATATTTTCAACTTCTGCCATAGAACCTCTGGGCCATTTTCAGCAAAACTTGCCACAAGTATCTTTGGATGAAGAGTTGTTCAGTTAAAGAGAGCTGCATCCTCTTTCAAGGGGAAATTAAGAAATTCATGAAAATTTGGTGGCATCTTTTAAAAAATCTTTTTTATCAAGAACCGCTGGGGCAGAAAGGAAGAAGGTTGTATGAATTCAAAGCTTCCTGACATGGTATAGACTCAAGTTTGTTCAAATGAAGGACCCAGAGGGTAGGATGGGAGATCAAAGTTTTACATGTTAATATACAAGGAAAAATCTAAAGAACAGCAGGGTTAATGAAAATATCTTAAATAGTTTCTTTAAAACTGAGTTTTAGACACAATAAATAGTAAAGTTCATTGGGAAGGTCAAGGTAAAAAAAATGGACACAGTTGATAAATTCTCACCAAATTATGTATCAGTGCATAAGTTTATATAAACAAGATGTGTTTGTGAAACACTCAGATGCCCCCGTGTGGCAACTTATAGCAAAGGTTAAACTTTCTCAAATGAAAATCAAATATGTTGGTACCCAAAATAAGGTCTTGTCTCGAGGAATATACCTGTGAAATATGACAGCCCTAGAAGCAACCATTGAATAGATATGGAAAAGGTTTAAGTTTTTCAAAAGTAAGTCAAACATCAAGGTCAAATGGAAAAAAAATAATGGTGCCTAAGGAAAGGCCTTCTCACAAGAAATATACTGGTGAAATATGAAAGCTGAAGCACCAATCATTCAAAAGTTATGACAAAGGTTTAAGTTTTCCAAAAGTAGGTCAAACTCCAAGGTCAAGGTAAATGGATTACAATTGTTGGTATCCAAAGGAAGGTCTTGTCACAAGGATTACATATGTGAAGTATGAAAGCCCTAGCCCCAACGGTTCACAAGTTATGGCGAAGGTTAAAGTTTTTCAAAAATAGGTCAAACTCCAAGGTCAAAGGGTCAAAGTTGTTGGTATCCAAAGGAAGGACTTGTCAGAAGGATTACATATGTGAAGTATGAAAGCCCTAGTACCAATTGTTCAAAAGTTATGGCCAAGGTTAAAGTTTTTCAAAAGTAGGTCAAACTCCAAGGTCAAAGGGTCAAAGTTGTTGGTATCCAAAGGAAGGACTTGTCACTAGGATTACATGTGTGAAGTATGAAAGCCCTAGCACCAATTGTTCAAAAGTTAAGGCCAAGGTTAAAGATTTTCAAAACTAGGTCATTCTCCAAGGTCAAGGTCAATGGATTACAATTGTTGGTATCCGAAGGAAAGTCTTGTCACAAGGATTACATACACTGTATGTGAAATATGAAAGCCTTAGCACCAACCGTTCAAAAGTTATGGCCAATGTTAAAGTTTTTCAAAAGTAGGTCAAACTCCAAGGTCCATGTCAAAGGGTCAAAGTTGTTGGTATCCAAAGGAAGGTCTTGTCACAAGGATTACATATGTGAAGTATGAAAGCCCTAGCCCCAACTGTTCACAAGTTATGGCCAAGGTAAAAGTTTTTCAATCTCCAAGGTCAAGGTCAATTGATTACAATTGTTGGTATCCGAGGGAAGGTCTTGTCACAAGGATTACATATGTGAAGTATGAAAGCCTTAGCACCAACCGTTCAAAAGTTATGGCCAATGTTAAAGTTTTTCAAAAGTAGGTCAAACTCCAAGGTCAAAGGGTCAAAGTTGTTGGTATCAAAAGGAAGGTCTTGTCACAAAGATTACACCTGTGAAGTATGAAAGCCCTAGCTCCAACTGTTCAAAAGTTATGGTCAAGGTTAATGTTGGGTAAAATTTTGTAAAACTAGGTCAAACACCAAGGTCAAGGTCAAAAGGTCAAATATGGTGGTACCCAAAGAAAGGTCTTGTCACCAAGTATACACATGTGAAATATGAAAGCCAGGGCAAAAACTATATGCCCCCGAATCTTCGATGCGGGGGCATAAAAATATTGATAAGCTAGATAGCTCTCGCCAATATGTATCAGCATCAAAATTTCTGGAATAGTATCTTTAAAACAGAGCTAAATTGGATTAATTTTTTTTTTCTTCGAATTGTGGACCCTGGGGTTAAGGCGGGATACAGGTATTTGGCGGTGGGGCATCTAATATTTGAGAATTTAGAATTTAATACGAATGATGGTTCAGTAGGGTTCTGGGAAAATTGTTGACACTAGCTAAGAACATGATTACATGTATCACAAATCCAAATGTTATGATTATATATTAAACTTGGGGAGCCATAGCTAGTTTATGTTCACCTATTGTAGTGTATTAGTGAAAGTGATTCCACTTTTATGTATACTAAATGGATTAATGTCTGCGTTTAAGGTTTAGCAGTCATATGGCAGTCATAAGTGGCAATTGCTGCAGGTCAGATAGCTCAGGTGGTAGAGCACCTATTGAGAGTTCGGGAATTTAAGTCCATGTATATCTTCAAATTCTGGTCTGGCTCTAAGACCATTAGGGGACGACCATTAGATTCTGAAGGGGGCTGGCAGATTTTGGAAATAAATAATCTGTCCTTGAAAATAAATATTATCAGTCTTCCACTGGCAAGTAAATAATCTATGATTGACTAGTGCTACCCCCCCCCCCCCCCCCCAATGAAATAGAGTTTGGGTGTTTCCTTTCTTTATGTCCCCGTAATCGAAGATTTGGGGGTACATGTACCGGTATATAGTTTTTGCCCAGTCTGTCCATCTGTCTGTTTGTCCGCAAAAACTTTAACATTGCCCATAACTTGTGATTGGTTGAAGCTATGGCTTTCATGTTTCACTTGCATATTCCTTGTGACAAGACCTTCCTTTGGGTTCGAACATATTTGACCTCTTGACCTTGGAGTTTGAACCACTTTTGCAAAAATTTACCCAACTTTAACCTTGGCCATAACTTTTAAACAGTATAGGTGCTAAGGCTTTTATATTTCACATGACATGTGTATTTATCGTGACAAGACCTTTCCATGGGTGTAAATATTTTTGACCTTGACCTTAGAGTTTTAAAAAAAACTTTAACCGTGGCCATAACTTTTGAACAGTTAGTTCTAGTTCTTTCAAATTTTACAGGTATATTTTTTGTGACAAGACCTTCCTTTGGATACCAATAATTTTGACTTTGACCTTGGAGTTTGACCTACTTTTGAAAAACTTTAACCTAGGCCATAACTTTTGAACGGTTGGTGGTAGGGCTTTTATATTTTGCATGTTCACTAAGTATTTCTTATGACAAGATCTTCCCTTGCATACCACTAATTTTGACCCTTTGACCCTTGGAGTTTGGCCCACTTTTAGAAAACACTAACCTTGACCATAATTTTTGAATGGTTGGATCGAGCTATGGCTATCATATTTCACATGTGTATTCCTTGTGACAAGACCTTCCTTTGGGTACCAACATATTTGACCTCATGACCTTGGAGTTTAATTGACCCACTTTTGCAAAAATTTTCCCAACTTAACCTTGGCCATAACTTTTGAACAGTTGGTGCTAAGGCTTTCATATTTCATTTGTGTATTCATCTTGACAAAACATTTTCATGGGTGTAAATATTTTTGACCTTGACATAAGAGAAGGACCCACTTTTAAAAAACTTTAATCTTGGCCATAACTTTTGAAGAGTTGGTACTTAGGACTTCCAAATTTCATGGGTATATTCTTTGTGACAAGACTTTTCTTTGGATACCAACAACTTTGACCTTGATTTTGGAGTTTGACCTACTTTTGAAAAACTTTAACCATGACCATAACTTTTGAACAGTTGGTGGTCTTTTATATTTTGCCTGCATGTGTATTTCTTATGACAAGGTCTTCCACTGCATACCATTGATTTTGACTTTGAGTTAGAGTTTGACCCACATTTAGAAAACATTAACCTTGACCATAAATGTTGAATGGTTGATGCCTGGGCTTTCATATTTACCAGGTACATGTATATATCCATTGACACAAAATAAGTCTTTGGGTAACAACATTTTTATCTCTTTACCATGGAATTTATCTTGCATTTGATAACTTTAACCTTCTCGATCATCTTGGAAATAAATAATCTGTCCTTCACCGACATGAAAAAAAAAAAAAAAAATCGGACTCGGAAAAGTTTGCCAGCCCCCCCCCCCCCCGACCTCAGAATCAAATGGTCGTCCCCTAAACCGAGAACAGACTTAAGTCAAAATTTCAAATCAATATATTTTTGAAATGATTTTGATAATGAAACAAAATTTTCAACTTATTTTTGAATTTGAGCTAAAAATGGAATTTTTTATGCTCATACGTTGAATAGAACTCAAACAACTCGATATCTTTTAAAAATAAGCCAATGTCGATTTTAAATAAAAGTTATACATCCAGTTTATCTGTTTACTAGTTACTGGAATAATCAGCAAGTATTAGATATATCCCATTTTATCAATTCTGTTACATTTTCGTTAACGAAATTACTCGGTCATTTTCTTAAACTACAATAAATAGTTTATATGTCCTTTATGAAAATGACCGAGTAGTTACGATTGCACAATCGGTTTCATTTTAGACCGAAATTCCTCGATGCCCATGAAAGGTGAGCAGCGCATCCCATGTTCGATTGACATTATTCTTTGTTTATAAACAATAATTTGCAGAACAGAAATATTTGTTACTGTATGATATCACATATCTGGTAGCACTATTTTTTTCTTACAAACAGAACATGACAAAGAGGCAGATCTTAACGTGTTTACGTAATTTATTATCAAGAGATGTTTGTCATGCTGTGGAAAGAAAATATCTTGCAGCAAATGCTAGGTAGGTACTAATCAAGTAAATGTTTTAAAAGAACGGAGATGTAACTTTGATCAACCGATGGTTGTGAGGAGAGGGTAAGCAGATCATAGGCCCTGGTTTAATTGAATCATGCAACTTGTTAAGGTTAGGAATTCAAGCATTTCACACTTCTAAATGACATAATAGTAGACAGTGGTAGAGGGTTCGGTATACCAGCTCATAGGAGAATACAGTATAACACTCTCTCTAGAATATTTGTAAAATTGAAGATATTGTTACATTGTATCCCAGTGACACCCTGGCCTGTATTTGGTTTTAAAAATTGACTCAAATGAGATGTTTTTTTTTCTGTTTAGTTATGATTAAGTGAAGTAACCTAAGTGAGTTACTTAAATATAACTTGTTTGCACATGCCCCTGACTTTTCAAATTAATATGCTATATGTTTAATTTTTCTTTAGTTTACTGCAGACCAACTGTGTTAAGAACTATCACCAGACAACGCCATTGATGTTCTATAATCGATTTAAATCCCGAAAAGAAGTGAAAAAGAAAAGTAAGGAAGAAGAGGAACAGGATAGGGAAATAGACGCCAAACTCGTGGAGGAGAAAGTGAAAGAACTTGATGTAGTAACAAAGATCCCGTACAAAATTAATGTGGCCTCTTTTGAGAGCAAAACAGATAGGTTTGTGAACAGAATTTTTAAACAAGTGGAACAAAGTGGTGAAAAAACCCAGGAAACATTCAACACCGCTGTTAAGATTTACAAACTGAATGCTGGGCTGTATATGAGAGGGCATATAGAGTTTGGAGAAGTAGCTCTGAGTAAACTTGAGGAATATGAACTGCAGTATAATCTAGAAGTTTACAAAATGATATTCAGCATATTTCCAGAGGGAAAGTATCTACCCACATCTAAGATTGCTGCAGAATTTACACCATTCCCACGACAACAGGATGCTGCACTGCAGATATTAACTAAAATGTTTGATAATGGTATTTTTTTTACTTGCATATTAAAATAATCTCTTCAAATTTTCTTTTCAGAATGAATTACTATGTAGGCCAGAATAAATACATATATTTCAAACTATCTATTTTTATATCATTTAAATTCACAGAAGGTCAACATTAACTCTTTAAGACAGTTGATAGAGTTGTATCTTTTGTCAATGCAATTTCTTCATCATAAAAAAATTATACAAGTTGCAACAGAGAAAGAATGCATTCATCATCAGTTCTATTCTTTCACAGGAGTTATACCAGATGAAGAATTTGGCAGAATGATAATATCTAGATTTTCCCAAAGATCCAAAGTCTTTACAAGATACCTGAGGATGTTGTATTGGATGCCAAAGTTTAAGTATATGAACCCCTGGCCAATTCCCAGACCTCCACCAAAGGACCCCATTCAGCTCGCTGTCTTGGCTCTCAAGAGAATGAGTTTTGATTTGGAAACAAAGATAACAGTTGTGAATGTGAGTTTACCTAAAAAAAATGATAATCTTTTATTTAAATTGATACTCCTCCATTAGTTTTGGACTAATTCTATATTATATTTCGTTAGTTTTCAATATATTATTGTTCCACTTCTTAACTTAAAATGGAATTTCTCTATATATTTCACAAAATTACTAAAATACTGAGCAGTGTGAAATTACCTCAAATTCTAACAATTTTCACAATTTAAAATTCAGAATCAGTATGTCAGTTTTGTATAAACACCTATAGAGCTACAGTATTGTCAGATACCAGTGCTTCTCCTAAAAAAATGTGTAATCCACACAAGGGCCAGTAATGTACTATGCTTGATTTAATGTCATCACTATATATACAGTCCCTGAAACGTTCTACTTTCCCATTTTTCCGTTCGCTCACCGTTCGTTCACCGTTCGTTCAGCGTGCGTTCACCGTTCGTTCACCGTGCGTTCACCGTTCGCTCTCCGTTCACAGTTTTGCGTTCACCGTTCACCGTGCGCTCGCGTTCACCGTTCACAAAGCGTTCAGCGTTCGCTCTTCGTTCCGTTCACTTTGCGTTCACCTTGCGTTCAGCGTTCACCTATCGTTCAGTTTTTATTGTCATTCGGAACTCCGAAGTGAAAGGACTTATCTTTTTGTAGTTAAGGAGTTACAGGTTTTTTTAATTTATTAACTAACATATCGTGTTTGAAGAATCATTATTTCACGAGGAAAAATATCTACGATATATATTTTTATTATTCTAACTTAGCTGTTAGGTTATTTATTAAATTACTCTGGAAAATAAATGTTGTTACAAGCACATTCTGTACCTATGTAGAACGATGCTGAAATATTAAATTTAACTAAGGGCAATGTGCAAATACTTCAAGCACTGCAACATTTTGTTGTTTTGTTAAAGACGACAAATCGTTAATGGAGATATAATTATTCAAGTCAAATAATTACGCAGCAAAATTACGAAAATATTTATTTCTATTACGTTTTTTTTAATTACTACAGAAAATATAATAGAACTAGTTCTGAGAGTTATACATAGTACTGCGGATATCCTGTTTATTTATTATCTTCAGAACGAATTAAAATGATAGTGTGGTTAAAGGAAATATTTATTTAAAATGTAATGCACTACAGAATTTCTCTACTGTAATATGTAAAGTCTATAATTATAGAGAAAAAAAAGTCTTTCTTCACCGTAACTTCATATGTTTGCCATTCGATATGATTAATACCCCCCCCCCCCTTTCCTCCTAAATCGGTGACTTAGTCAGTACCGTATTTCCAGAATATTTTAATTAACATTTATAAAAAAAAAAAGCTACGGTCTTTTTTAGAACAAAAATTTCAGTCTCAAAACAAACATGCATCTAAAAAAGTCACAAAACAATAGTAGATCAAAATGTACACGTGTCGGCGGTGGTATTTGAAATTGGCAGAGAGTATGTTTCACATTCAAGTGTTAATGCCCAATGTATTTTACTAATTTATTATTCAAATGTTGGAATCAAATCTAGAAATGATAAAAATAAATGTTATAACTTGTTGGAAATACTCGCACTTCGTCTTCGATGTGACGAAACTTTCACACCTGCACAGTGTCGAATGATTTTGATTGACAGGACAAGCACGTGGACTTCGTGATAACTTAAAGCAGGAAAATAAAAACGAGTATGACTGTCAAACAAATGGATATGATTAGTTGATAAAAAAAAAAGTTACTTTCACTGTCTGATATATTTAGAAAAAAAAAATTCAGAGTTTTTGTTTGATATAGGTACAAACATTTGGTGAAGCCTGAAAGGAGGGGGGGGGGGGCTAAAACTAAATAGTACTCTCTCTCTCTCTCTCATTTGTCTGTTTAATAAAAACTATAACACCATATTACTTAAATATCATGTTCTGAAAATTGAATTTATAACAAATAATATGAATATGTATCTTTGTATCATCTTGTCCGAGTATAATCACGGCCATCTAAAGATACATGTAGACGTCTGCTCAATAAATCATAATGAAAAATAGAAATGACACATAATATATTATTGTATTAAAAATCTAAAATACGAGTGTATAAATGTAATTTTTTTTTCATTACTTTACACGAAATCGCCTTGACACGGAGATATATATATGAATATAAGTTACAACCGCTTTAATTCATCCTATAAATCATACGTTTTCTCTGAATTGTTATCAAATAAGAATAAACATTTTTATTTTCCAATCAAAAACAATATCTTTTATACTTCAGCGTTAGGCAACAATTGCAATGTTTTAATGCGATAAAAATCGTGTGATTAAAAAATTAATGTGCATGCATCGTCTTTCTTAGGACAATTTTGGAGAATTTATTTTATTGACTTATTTATTCATTCATTAATTTGTTTACTTATTTATTATTATTATTTTTTTTTTTTCTTTTTTTTCGGCACCTGACATTATAATACAATAAAATAGTTTCAATGCAAGGAAAAGATCAGAGGCATTCCGAATATATCGTTCATCTTGCGTTCACCGTTCGTTCACCGTTCACTTTGCGTTCGCGTTTGCGCTCCGTTCGCTCGCCGTTCACCGTTCACACATCGTTCACCAAGTTGCGTTCAGCGTTCACACATCGTTCACTCACCGTTCGCTCTGCGTTCGTTCAGCGTTCGTTCAGCGTTCGCTCACCGTTCAAGTGGGAAAGTAGAACGTTTCAGGGACTGTATATATATATATATATATATATATATATATATATATATATATATATATATATATATATATAAAGGAATCTTTTTTACATTGTATATACAGTTATGACGAAAATTGAAGCAAAGTATGTTAGCAGCCCCCTTGGTTATACATTGTTAGGATTCAAAAGAATTTAGACACATCCCGTGACATCCTTCTTACATTGACAGGACACTCTTTCTAACTTGATTGCGAGGATCCTTATTAAATAAGAAGATATGACATGTTTTGAATCTTGCTAGGATTCTTTAGGAGATGTGGCATGTTTTAGGAGATACATGTATGACATGTTTTGAATATTGCTAGGATTCCTAAGAAGATATGACATGTTTTGTTATTGTAGGATTCAAAAGAAAGTGAGATCTCAGCAACAAGGAGTGGTAAGTTTATAGCCAGTGCACAGAGTCCTAAACAGAGGGAACTTCTCTCCAGACATCCCTCATCTAAACCCATCATAGTGGAGGGGGAACATTATGTCTATCTCCGGAAAGTTTGTCAGAAAGTGTTTTTCCTTAAAACGGACCCAGAGGAAGAAATAACAGGAGAGGACCCTGACTATTATAAAGCCCTCAAGGAGGAGGATGTAGAAGGTATGATGCATTATAGTATGGATTGTCTCCCCAGAATTCCATATATGAAGTTCTGTAAAAGATCTGAAAATAAACAAAATATTCAAAATTTTCTGAAGACTGTCAGAGATTTTGATTGACCGAGGTCAAATTTTGTTAGTTAAAACAGAGATCTGTCAGTTCTGTTAGTTCAGATAAGTGCAAGGTTAACAGACATGGTTTAGTATCTCTTATCGGAGCTAAGTAATTTTGAATTTGAAAAAAAAAATTCCTTTGAATGAAAACAGAATTTGTGTATGAATTTCTGAGATAGTGACATTTTGAGAATGTTTAATTTTGTGAGCAGATATGCTTATAGCCATTATAACTTTTACTTATAGCCTTTACATATGAAATACAATTTGAAATGAACTGTGCGTTCAATTTATTTTACAGACATGTTCAACTTCACAACCCCTCTGTCTGGTGAGGAACAGACAGCTCTCGTCCCCAAGAAGTCAGTCCATGAGCAGGAGGATGGGACAGTGTACGCTATGTGTATAACAAGTGACTCAAGTAAGGAATCCCTACAGGACTGGATTCAGTTCCTACAAACCACAAACTCAGCACTGGAACATATACCTGTTTTATTTAGGATTAAAGATGCAGACTCTTTACTGAAAGAAACTATTAGACAGGAAGAAGAAGAGGAATTATGAGATTAGATATTTTAGGGAAAATAAAAAAAATAATCATTACATTGTTTTCTTTTAACCAGAATCAAGGCACGATAAGATTTTTTGATCAAGGTAATCATTTTTCCCCTAACTTTTCAGTTTTTATGTCTTTGTCATTCCAACCTATGTTCTTATTCATTTCCACTCAGTTGAACATAAATGATTTATAAAATAAATATTAACACTGTATATAGTACAGAAGCACTCTTGCAAGTGCAGTTTATTATTACAAAATACATGCATACAAATGATTTATCAATCTGATTAAAATCAGATCATTGTTACGCTCTGAAATTCTGATAGCTGCTGTACAGTGACTATCAGAATTTTGGAGTATAACATAGATCTGATTTCAATCAGATTGATGATTTATAAAATAAATAACAATACTGTATATAGATACAAATTTAATTTTCCTTCATTGAAACTTGTATATCTACATAGACAAAAAAGAAAGATAAGAACAAGATGTGTTTGTGAAACACTGATGCCCCCCTGTGGCAGCTCATGGCGAAGGTTAAAGTTTCTCAAATGCAAATCAAATTCCAAGGTCAAGATCAAGAGATAAAAATTGTTGGTACCCCAAAAAGGTTAATGACACAAGGAAAACACCTGTGAAATATGAAAGCCCTAGCACCAACCATTCAAAGGTTATGACCAAAGTTAAAGTTTATCAAAAGTAGGTCAAGCTCCAAGGACAAGAATTAATCATGCCAAAGGGAAGGTCTTGTCACAAGGAATATATGTGTGAAATTTGAAAGCCCTAGCACCAAACATTCAAAAGATATGACAAATGTTAAAGTTTTTCAAAAGTAGGTTAAACTCCAAGGTCAAGGTAAAAAATTGTTGGTACCCAAGGGCGGGACTTGTCATAAGAAATATGCATGTGAAATATGGAAACCCTAGCACTAACCATCAAAAGTTATGGCCAAGGTTAAAGTTTTTCAAAAGTGGGTCAAACCTCAAGGTCAAAGGTAAAAAATTGTTGGAACCAAGGAAAGGTCTTGACACGTGGAATACATATACAGAATGTGAAAGCCCTAGCACCAAGGGTTCAAATATTATGACCAAGGTGATAGTTTTTCAAAAGGGGGTCAAACTTCAAGGTCAAGGTCAAAAGTTCAACATATTTGTACCCAAAGAAAGGTCTTATCATGTGAAGTATGAAAACCCTAGTACCAACTGTTCAAAAGTTATGATCAAGGTTGAAGTTTGGTAAAATTTTGCCAAAGCAGGTCAGACTCCAAGGTCTACAGGTCAGATATGTTGGTACCCAAAGAAAGGTCTTGTTACAAGGAATACACATGTAAAATGTGAAAGCCATAGCTCCAACCAATCAAAAGTTATTGGCAAGGTTAAAGTTTTTGTGGACAAACAGACAGATAGACAGACGGACGGATAGAGCAAAGACTATATGTCCCCGAATCTTTGATTACAGGGGTATAAAAAAATCAATAAAAACGATATTTGTAAGGGCAAGTTGGTGGAGAAACATCGGACTGCACTAAGAGAGAGAGAGAACCTTCGATTGGCGTTAACTAAACATACGTGCTTTATCAGAATACCCGTAGAACAGGTATTCTAAAAATACAGTAACCAATCAGATCGTCAGTCAAAATAAACACAGGGTAAACATTGTGATAATTTCAATAAATACACTTACTAGTATTTCAATAAACTTTAAACCTTTATTCATATGCGAGAAATACTGAGTATCTGTGAGTTTTGCAATCTTTTTATAAATTTGTTAGCTCACCTGAGTTGAAAGCTCAGGTGAGCTTTTCTGATCACCCTTAGTCCAGCGTCCGTCCGTCTAGCTTTCTGTCTGGCCGTCTGTCTGTAAACTTTTCACATTTTCAACTTCTCAAAATCCACTTGGACAATTTTAACCAAACTTGGACAAAGCATCCCTGGATAAAGTGGATTCCAAATTGTTAAAATGAAGGACCAAGCCCCTTTTCCAGGGGGAAATAATCAAGAAAAGGCAAAAATTGACCTACTTTCGAAAAACTTTAACTTTTGAACGGTTGGTGCTAGGGCTTTCATACTTCACATATGTAATCCTTCCTTTGGATACCAAGAACTTTGACCTTGACCTTGGAGTATGACCTACTTATGGAAAACTTTAACCTTGGACATGACTTTTGAACAGTAGGTGCTAGGGCTTTCCTATTTAACATGTCTATTCCTTGTGACAAGACCTTTCTTTGGATACCAACAACTTTGACCTTGGAGTTTGACCTACTTCTGGTAACCCTAACAAAAAATTACTATAGTAAACTATAATTAACAATAGTTTACTATAGTTAACTATAGTACCAAAGTTAAAACTTTGGAACTTTGATTTACTATAGTGAAAACTTTGGAACTTTGATTTACTATAGTGAAAACTTTGGAACTTTGATTTACTATAGTAAAAACATTGAAACTTTGGTTAAGTACGATAAATCCCGTGGAATTATGTTTTTGATTCCCATTCTTTACATTTTATGATATTTCAAATTTAAGATTCATTAAAGCTTTAGAGAACATTTTAAAAACCCCACCCCTCCCCTAAAAGAATAATGTACACGATATGAATTTTAATGTAAAGGTTGTCGCTTGCGCCGATAAATAAGCAATATTTATTTCAATGTATTTAATTTTAATGTCATGCAGATGTAACGTAAGTCTTATTTATGGAGAAAAAATAATATATTATCAAAAAAATTGTGTCATTTAGAATCAAAATATCTGCTTCATCAACTTCAGTCAACATGTATTTTTTTTAAATTTATAAATGTCAATATTGCATTTGAATTAACTACTTTGTATATTTGAATAAAGATGTACAACAAAAACCAGCCCCAACCAACCCCATATCCACCACTCCCCTAAAATGGCTAAATAATCAAACAAAATTAATAAAAATACATAAGTTGTTAAACTAATGAAAAAACTTTAAAACTTTGATTAAGTATAGGGAAACTTTGAAACTTTAATTAACTATAGTAAAAACTTTGGAACTTTGATTTACTATAGTGAAAACTTTGGAACTTTGATTTACTATAGTGAAAACTTTGGAACTTTGATTTACTATAGTTAACTATAGTAAACTATAGTTAACTATAGTTTACTATAGTATTTTTTTGTTAGGGAAACTTTAACCTTGGACCTTGGACATAACTTTTGAACGATTGGTGCTACGGTTTTCATATTTTACATGTGTATTTCTTGTGAGAAGGCCTTTCCTTGGGCACCATTTATTTTGACCATTTGACCTTAGCCTTGATGTTTGACTTACTTTAGCCTATTCCATATCTATTCAATGGTTGCTGATAGGGCTTTCATATTTCACAGGTATATTCCTCGAGACAAGACCTTACTTTGAGTGCCAACATATTTGATTTGCCTTTGCTATAAGTTGCTATACAGGGGCATCCGTGTTTCACAAACACATCTTGTTTTTTTAAATTAAAATTAGCACTGTTTATGCTTCGGATTGGTTATGCAACTTACATACGACGTCATGTGACATCAAAGTCTAGACGTACCAAATGTCACGTGCGGTTTGAAGAGACGGATCTAAATTGAAACTGAATAGGTATCTGCGCTCGCCCTGTGAACCCCCTGTGCACCGTGAACATTTTAAAGTCACTTAAAAAATTTGATAATGCATTTATAGGCAAACAGTAACTCCGACATGGAATATGCACAATTTCATATTTTCCTTTTTGATAATGCCGTACCCATAAAATCTGTGAAATAATATGAAAATATATTTTTCAAGAACTCATTACAGATGGTAAGAGGAATAATAATTTTCTCTATTAATTTTGGATGAAAGTAATGCCATTACTGCACAATTTTCTGCATGAAATACTCTTGCACAAATAAAACATAATCTTAAAAGATACCAAATTACGTGTAATCGATATTGAGGAACACTTTCGCTTAATTCTTTTTCATAATAATTCAGAAAAAAATCTCCTTATAAAGAACAGCCATAAAATATTCACATTGTCTGATAGGATTCCCATGTAGTGTTCAATCAGGTTTGTAGAAATCATACACATGAACCTTGGAGTTAGGATGGGACCACAATAGGGCGTTCTCAATTTTATATGCAAATGTAATAACAATACATTCTCAATAACAGCATAGCCACAATTAGTCATATGGATACCCAAAAAAACCTCGTGTAGTGTAGGTTCACGTTCCTTACAATCACTAACCCCCTCACCCCCCCCCCCCCCACCCCTTTGAGGTATAGTGGGACCATGCATAGTAGAGGGTTAACGTTTTATATGATAATTACGAATCCCCTCTCCCCTGAGGTATAGTGGGACCACAGTAGAGGGTTAACATTTTACATGATAATCAAGAAGCCCCTTTACTCTGAGGTATAGTGGGACCACAGTAGAGGGTTAACATTTTACATGATAATCACGAACCCCCTTTACTCTGAGGTATAGTGGGACCACAGTGGAGGGTTAACATTTTACATGATAATCACGAACTCCCTTTACTCTGATGTATAGTGGGACCACAGTAGAGGGTTAACGTTTTACATGATAATCACGAACCCCCTTTCCTCTGAGGTATAGTGGGACCACAGTAGAGGGTTAACATTTTACATGATAATCACGAACCCCCTTTCCTCTGAGGTATAGTGGGACTACAGAAGAGGGTTAACGTAAAATAAGTAAAATAAGTAAAATGTCAAGGTCAAGGTCAAAGTGGTTGGTAACCAAAGGAAAGTCTTGTCACAAGGATTACATATGTGAAGCATGAAAGTCCTAGCACCAACCGTTCAAAAGTTATGACCAAGGTAAAAGTTTTTCGAAAGTAGGTCAAACTCCTTTGTCAAGGTCAAAGGGTCAAAGTGGTTGGTATCCAAAGGAAGGTCTTGTCACAAGGATAACATATGTGAAGCATGAAAGTCCTAGCACCAACCGTTCAAAAGTTATGACCAAGGTAAAAGTTTTTCGAAAGTAGGTCAAACTCCTTTGTCAAGGTCAAAGGGTCAAAGTGGTTGGTAT